GTCCTTTTTTGCGATAATTTTATAAATAATTTATTTTTATTTCCATAAAACTCGTATTTCAGAGACAAAATCAGTATTTGAAAATTAAAAATAAAGAAATTTGCATAGCTATGAGATGTCAATATATGTATTTTTATTTACAACTAAAATTTCAAAGGTCTTATTTTTTAAACTTGGTTATGAACATAAAACCCTCCAAAAAATTGACATAAACATTCTATATCTATCAAAAAAATAATAAATTAAAATAATAAATTAAAAATAATAAATTAAAAAATATTGTTGATAAATAATATTTATTTTTATAATAATTTTAATATTTTGTTAATTCTTTCTTATTTTTATTATCATCAATACTCTTTTGAAAGAATAAATTGAGAGTACTTTATATTTATATATTATAGTTAAAGCTATTGTATTAACTTTCAAAAATTTCTTTTTTAAAGTTTTATTTTGCGAAGTTGGGATTTTATTCAAGCATATTCTATATGCAACAAAATAAAGGCTCAAATTATAGATATCACCGAAAACATTACAAATATCTTATTTTATATTTCTTTCCTTTTACGTTTAAATTGAAATGGTAATGTCAGATCTCATTTTTTCAGATTTTAATATCTTTATACTAATCTAATTATACTGTTTACCCCATTCCTCAGGCAAAATGTTTCAACAAATCCCCGGTATATAAACATCAAATTTACACTATGCGCGATTCACAAATATTAAAATACGGAATTAATTACGGACTGAACTTACTAATTAAATTTATCGCGACGCCACTCAATTCGGAGTTAATTCATTCTATATACGCAATATTCAGTTAATGATCGAAAAATTTCATTCTGATATCATACAGTACAGTATATGATACAGTTAATAAAACTTATGGCTAATTAAGACGCAATAAACCGTCAAAAAAATGAACAATTAAAATTCAGTATTGCCCGATAAATCCGCGGAATACTACACGTATTATTAATAAACGATTGACACACCAGAGCTTTTCAGTTACTTGAATTACTCGATCCGGCGGATCAAGTGCTATTTCGCTTTTAATCCGCGAAAATACGGGCAAATTATGCATAAATTTGGAAAAAATTTATCATGGAAAATACATTCGAATCCATTGAAAAAATAATTATCACCTGTAAATCGTCTAATGAAACAATATATAGCAATTCATAGCGCTTCGATTTCTGTTGCAAATAGATAAGTCAAGTGAGAGAAAAATAGTTCGGTTGCGATACGTTAATAGCGAGAATTAATTAACCTTACAAGCTGGTAATTGCTAATTGCTAATTGCTAAAGGATCGTGTTTGATGTCTCTTGATACTTATTGCTTAATACGATGATATATCAAATGGCATATCATCATCTTACTCACTGAAGTTCCATCACGCGATTGGTAGCAAAGTGATTGCATGTACATTCATAATGTACCACATAAGTCGCAAAAAATGAGCGTCTTATTCATTACTGTCATGAGATATTTAATGTAGTGAAAATATAAATATTTGTCAAATTGTTTTTTACATTTTAAGTGGATTTCAATAAATATTATCGAACATTTTGTATTTTATGGACTTTTTAACATCACATAAACTAAATAATAATTTCGTCAAATTGAGAATGTTTCGGAAATATAACAAAAAGATATAAAGTTACTTGTAACTTAAATCCACAAATATGCTATAATTTAATTGATATCTACATAATAAATATATTTGTAATATAAAAGAAAGGATTCAAACTGCTATGCATAATTCATCTTTTTTTTTAATGTGAAAATTTTTATAGTTTATTAATTATTTTATCTAAAAAGAATTGTTATAAGAAATTTAATTCATTTCTAAAATAAAATATATTTTTGCTTTGATCAAATAAACAATTATATATTAATTATATATTAATTAATATATAATTTGTTACTACTTTTTCAATTTTCGCTTCAAAGAAGTAAAACTACATAATTTCAATAAATTAGGAAAATACTGAAAACGGTTAAAAGCCACAAAAAAACATGGTAAACCGATATTTTTGTTTTTCAATTGGTTAAAATCATACAATTTTATTTCTTTCGTGAAATGTAAAATTGAAAAAACGATAATGATAAATTAAATTTTATAAATATTTACCGATTAAAATATAAATTTTATGTGTGCTCATCAAATCAGCGCTGATTATTGAAAATAAATATTAATTTCAAAAATTGATAACTGATCGATAAAAGATGTCTGGATGGTATCTATATAAATGTAAAAAGCGTAAATGTCAAGGCGCATAAATTCTATACAATATTATCTAATCTCGAATGACATATAATTTGAAAACTATTATATTCTCCAGAGATGTTTGTATTGTTTTCATTTCTGATTTAATCTTAGAACGCTATCGTAAATTTTACGTATGTATATGTGAGCGAGGTCAGAGAGCGCTAAGCTATGCTTTCAGTGGTCATTAGAAGGTCTAATCTACCATGCTAAAAGCTAGGATAAGCAGAAACAAGCTTTCAAAAATTCTATCCATTATACATACTAGTTTGGATTTCATAGTGATAGTATTAGTATTATAACGGAAAGCTTGATAAGTGATTTAAATTTGTAAGCAATTTTATGTGTTATTATATATTTTTTTAAGTATCATGAGAAAACACACACAACTGGACTACATACTCTGTATCAGTTCAACACTGACAGTATATTTATTCTTTTTAAATTAATAATTAAGTTATTGTTTGTAAAAATCTATATTATAAATACTTTATCATTAAAAATGTTAAAAAAATTTATGTTTTACGTTAATTAAGAGGCCTATTTTTTAATACAATATTAAAATTTATCGGTAACAATACTATAACAATAGCGTTCTAATTAATTCTCCAAATATTAAAATATTATTATTGGCATTATTAAAATATTATTAAGTATTATAAATGTAGCTAAGTACACCACGCTTTGCAAGATGTAATGGATTCTTATACACGTAAATAGAACGATGTCGCGCATCAAAGGAGTGATCGTGTATACATGTTTGATAATTACATGTTTTCTGACGAGACACCTATCCCACGTACATTTGCGTAAATACAGTAGCCGGTTTCGTGCACGTTAAAGTTACGCTCGCGGTAAGGGTGAAATACTCACGTGAAAGCCAGATCCTATTACACCAACCGCAAAAGTGGGTGATAAACGCCTCTTGGACTGACTCGTCCGGTCATTAAGACTTATCGCTGGATTAACGCTTGGCTTATAAGTCCTTACCTCAAACGCATGCTGCATCGCGCGAGTACGAGAATAATTATACCTACTAGAACTGTATGCTATCCTTCCGAAGACCGAAGCTATCTTTTTAACGAAATTAGAACTATGCATAATTTAAAATTAATAATTGAAATTGTAAAAAGATATTTAGAATAGTTTATTTCAATGCACCGCAATATGATTATTTCTTTCTACGTGGCGTGTTAAAATGCACGTATCATGTTTTTGCATTTATCATATGCGATACCTGTCTTTGACACTAATTAGCAACGAAACTTTAATGAAGCGCCTGCGAATTAATTCTCGTAACAATGTACGAAATATTCAATAAAATGCAATAGCTGGCAATGAGTGGATATAACTGTTGTACTGTAGATTGTTCATTTATTGTTATTCCGATTAACGAATGAATAGTATTTTGATATTAAGTATTACCCAATATTACAGTATGCATGATTTAATTATTCGTACTTGTGTACGATGCCCACTTTAATAGGCTGTGCTGCAAAAAATATCGGAAAAGCAATTAACGGATACGATATAAGGCACATTAAAATGTGTAATACATAATTATGATTTTAGTATCGACTATGAGAGTAATTTTTCATAAATCCGATATTAAATCCGAGAGATTAAAAAATTTATATTAAATTAACAATTTTTAATTTGACTTTGTCTTAAGAGATTTAAATTGCTATATTAGCTTAAAAATCCATATTTAACATTTAAATGATTTTGAGAAAATGGATATTAAAATTTCTAAAACGAACAGATTCGCGGTTCAGATTTGCGCACAATAATTCCGATTTTGAATAATAAAAACACTTGAGCTGAATAGTTTTTAATTTTGAATATTGCGCAATTGTATCTTCCAATTCCTATATAAATTGTAACGTTTCCTATATAAATTGTAAGCGCTCTAAAATCGGAATAAAGTTTAATTAATTATAGATATCTATCTTTTTTGCGGTATATCTGTACAAAAAATTTATTAAATATTTCTTCTTTTTAATCCATAATAGGAACATTTTATATATTTTTTATGCTAAAAGAACATATAAGTTCTTGAGACACGCTAAAAATTTTTATAATTAGTTTTAAAAGAAGTTTTACAATTTTGAACTATATAAAAAATTACGACACTTTTGAATTTTGTATAAATATAATACGATAATTAGGAAAAACAAACACTATATGAACAAAATTGTAAAAAATAGGTTTGAGAAACATTAAACGTTCAAATCGTTATATTATTTAAAATTAGGAAAATGTTCTAAAGTCACCAAACGTTCTAGTTCTGAATTAATCGATGATACACTATTAAATTTATAATGTCAAATTATATATAACTCAATGAGTTATTTTTAATCATTCCTATATAGATCACTACTGCTTCTATTCGATATGTCATTAATTTAACTAAAACAATTTAATTCAAGAAAATGTAATGTGAATTTGACTTAAATTCAGTTTATTTACTAAATGTATAATATAGTGTATAATAATGTTATATATACTGTATAATAATGTATAATAATGTTTAATATAAACGTTGTTTACTTAAAACTAACTACCAATTGAACTGATTTACATTTTGAATAAAAATTAAAAATAACAAAATATTATTTTGTAATTTGAGCTTGAATTACTATTGATTTTTTGATACTTAATAATGTAAATAAAATTGTTAATAATTATGCTAATAATAATAAAAGGAAAATTGTGATTCTGTTGCAGGTGTCGCAGGATGGTAACATGACGAGCTCCATCCTGACGTTTCAGCCTACTCTATTACATCATGATAAAGTTATCACATGTAGAGCTGAAAATCCTAAAGTCCAACGTGGTATAGCAGAAGACACGTGGAAATTAAACGTTTTTTGTAAGTATGCTGACCCACAACAAATAGGTACAAGATAAAGTTACACGAGATCAACGAGGTTGAGAAACGTTCTGTCGATTTTCATTTAGAAATATCATAAAGAAAATAATATTCATCGACTATATAGATTATCTATACGATATCTTGTCTTATATGTTATCTCTAATACACATCAATAACGTAATATATTTTGTTATTCCAAAGACAACATATGCATGTTACAATATGCATAATTGGAATAATTACGATCTATTGTGTATATGATATTGGTACACGTATAAAATAAAAAATTAAACGAGGATAATATCAGATCACAAACTGTTGGCTGAGGTAGACCACGAGTTTACATACTAGTAATGGCAACACGATATGTTCTGCAGAATCAGCACTATTATCACTGATATCATTATTCATTAACACATCATCATCAATATTATGCAAGTGAACCAACAATATTCGATTTGTATTAAAGGATAATAACGCGCGACTGGTCGTTTCGCCATTTTATACTTACTACGCGAATAAAAAAATATTCCTTGGCGTACAATAAATAATATATATATTATAATTATGTACAATAATTCTCACTTTTATTTTTATATGATCATAAAGGTGAATACTAAGTTAGGAATAAAATTATACGCGTACTATAAACTTTTCTCTTTATCCTCGAAATTTCGCTTTAATCCTCCGGAGGTGATACCAAAATCTGTAATACAATTACTGACGCTGAAAAACCCATTTAATTTATGTTAATTAAAAAGCATAATTAATTTGAAGAAACAAAAAATGAATACTAAGTATATTTTAATAAAAATAATCCAAATCCAGACACAACATAAAGAACACTGAATTGTTTGACATGTTTGGATAAAAGATTTATAATTTAATGTCCAATAGATCTTAGCTCCGAAGTGTTACGAATCTTTTTCTTTTATAAGAAAGATGTAATTAGAGTGGGTAAATACAGAATGAGAATACAAACATTTCGAGAGTTAAATAGGAATTGTCGCGCATTAAACGCGCGCATCACCGCGTAAAAACAAGTTGGCGGTAATTTATCAAAGCCATAAACTCATAAGCGAGCCATAGTGTGGGTGTTGCTTCTCTGTACAATCGACACATTGGAAAATCCGCGTGCACGGCATACGTCAACGCGTGCACGTGTGCATAACGGCACGGCCGGGTGACCGTGTAGCACCACGCGTACGTTGTCCATGTTTGTGTACGTGTGTGTATATCGAACACGGTAAACGGGTTAAAAGCTTGGCAGGCCGAAACAAGACCGTCGATATAGATTACGTTCGCGCAAACGCGAATGTAATCACAATAACGAGACGTCAACGACGAGGCCAAAATGGAACGTCCGGCGCGGCGCAACGGTGGCTGACCAGCGCGACCCGATTTATTTGCCCGCCGCGACATCTCCACGCTCGCAAATTTGAAAGCTCGATGTGAGACAAGTCCGTTTCGTTTCGAATGAGACGGAGCCTCATAAAATATGATTATGTCATAACTCTCGCAACGAATTCCATTCTGCGAATTTGGATATTGAGATTGAAGACAGATACTTTTGTATGCTCTAATAATAATGATAAGAAAGTATTTAATTGAGATAAATTTATACTTGTAATGTTTACAGATTCTGTTTGCTTTGATTATTTTCTTCATTAAGAGAAAAGTGTGTTTGTGAACTACAATTATACATATAGTAAAATAATTATGGTTAAGAGCTCTATTTTTATAGTTATTACTGCTATAATAAAATAATAATGTTAATAACAGTAAATATATTTTTTATATATACCATAGAACCATAGAACCATAAATATAATTATTATTACTAACACTATAGTTATAATAAAATAAAAGTTCCCAATCATAAATTTTTATGGTTATTTTATTATAACCATGCAATTATACATATATACCAAACATTTTTCTCTTAGTATTTGGCTTTATTCAAGCTTCAGTCTCTGCAATTAAAATGAGTGCTTGTATAGATATCGAGTTGTATCTTTACTTACTTATATTTATGCTTTACTTCTGCAATATTTATTAAGTTTTCTGTAAATTACAAATACTACAATAGAATAAATAACGAATGAATAACGAACGATTGTTTCAATCTTTCAAAATTGCGCATGGGATACAATATAACTGAAACTAATTTTTATAATTGATAATTTTTAATAATTGATAAGATAATTTATCTTGAAAACGTGCTTGTTATGGAAATTGAGCAAGACTCGTGGAATAATCACGGACATTTTCTACTTACAGTTGTCCCAATTTTGCATCTGCAACTCGGCTCGAACATGAACCCAGATGACATCGAGGAGGGTGATGATGTATACTTTGAATGTAAAGTTCATGCGAATCCGGGTGCCTACAAAGTCGTGTGGAAACACAATGTAAGTCAAGAGATTGTTGGGTATACCAAATACGAAATATGAGATATGAAATGCAAAAGCTCTCTGTTGCGAGTATATCCGTATTCGTGTACACGATTGTTAAAAATTTTAAGCTCAGCAATGCAAAAAAAGCCGATACCGAAACTTTACCGTAGGACGAAATCGGATAAAAACGCATTATTCGAATTGGATAAAAAGCCCAGGTTTGAGTTTGAACAATGACCTCCGGATTCTCGCGAGTGATATATTTACGCTTGAATAGTTCCTAAAACTGTTGGCTCAGAGTAATGGCTATTGCAGCCGAAACCGACAAATAGGAAACAAACTTTCTGCATGCCTCTAAAACCCCTCTTCTCCTATCCTCCTCTAAATATTACCCAACTTGCGAAATAACGCAAATATAATACAATTACGCAAAAGAGTATCTTTTGATGTAATCTTAAGTGTATATATAAAATTAGCTCATCTTTTACCTTAATTAAATTTTCATTTACATAGTAGACGTGCTGTTTTACTAACTGTTTCGTGACTGTTTACTTAAAGTTATCGCAACATTTTCTGAATAGAATACACAGTAATAAATTTCATTTCAATAAATTTTATCTTAGACGTATTGCTGTTTTCTTTAACATGTAGCACGGAAAGCTTGATCTTCAACATTGTTCGAAGACCGCCTTCGAAGGTGTACTGCAGCCGAGAACATTAAGCGGTATACCGATATAAATGGCAGTATAATAGTCCTTCGCTCTGCTGACGCCGTTTTTACGTCGACGTTATATTCACAGATCTCATTACGCGTCGTTTCTCCCCGCTTTTCGCCGACAATGTCTATTCACGTTTCGCATCCTTTCTACCTCCACGCTGACGTCATTATGTATTGTTTAATATAATACGTTATATTATGGCACGGTGTCCATAAATGCTTTGTAAATACGAAATGTCCAACTTTACCGACGTCGTCGTTGGCATAGCAGTTAATTAACTTGATATTAATAAAATCCCATTTAATTAAGTAAAATCCCATTCCCGCGTTGTCCTGAGTGAAGCCCATCTATTGTAAGATTATTCTCACCTCAAATGTGAATTTCACATCTGGACAAAGTAAAATAAATCATTCTGTGCTCCGTGAAATCCGTCTCTTTATTGCGATAAGTTTGAAAATCGGTTAATTAAAAAGATGTTTTTGTAGTTCTACGATATCAATTAAAAATATTTGTCAAAAAATCAGCTAAGAAAACGAATATATCAGTCTATATTAACTAAAAAATTTTAATTCTGAATATATCCTGAAATCCATTGCAAAAAACAAATAATTCGATTTATAATGATTCATGCAGCGGAATGATCATATTTTGCTGTAGTTTTAGATAAATTTTAAAACGAATAAATAAGTTTAAATAAACTTTTATATGAATATTTATGAGAATGTGTCATGTCTCTTGTAGAAGGTATTATGATTTCTTTGAAAACTTTAAGAACGCAAAAAAATTTGTTTTAACGAAATGAGCACAAAATTTTTTTTGCAGATTTTGAGAGTGCATGAATAGCACATTATTATATAATTTAATTTATTCATTAAGATTTGATTAAATAAGGGGGAAGGGAACAGCTAGGCAGAACGTATGAAATTAAATTAGTTTGCTTTTGATGATTGATAGAATAATCTTCGAATTAATCAATAAGAAATTTAATTTAATTCTATCCTAGAAAAAAATTTAATTTAATGCTAGTTTTTCATTAAATTTGCAAATACTGCAAAACGCGAATTTATATAAAAATCGAGGTAAACAAAAGAATAAATAACTTTTAAACCAGTAAGAGAATTGTGTTTACACAATTTTACACAGATACTCAGATATAATAAAACAATTTATGAAATTATATTTATATCTTTGGTAATGCTTTGTGACACATACATCCTTTTCAATAATGATAATGATTACCATCCATGTAGAATGGAAAGATTAGCCAAGAGATAAGACGACAGCACTTCGATCTAATCGCGAATGCGCATTGTTCCAGGGAAACGTGATTCAGAATAACGCGAAGAACGGCGTGATAGTCCAGCAATACGATTTGGCTCTCAGAGAAGTAAATCGGTCCCAGGCCGGAAATTACACCTGCGTTGCTAGCAATGTCGAAGGCGATGGTTATAGCAATATTGTGGAGCTTAAGATCATGTGTAAGTATTCTCTGCTATCTGCTATTGATATTATACATGCAATATGAAATATCCGTCCATAGCAAAAATACAGATAAAAATGCATGCCGACGCGACCCGTTGCAACGTTTGCACGAAAAAGGAATTTCGTTTTGAGCACAACTTCTAAATCTTCCCTCCGACGCTACTCGACCTCTTTTTGCTGAAAATAACGTTTCTGCCTCTTCGCTCGCTCTTTATAAAGCTCAGCCTCGATTACTCCGTTTTCCGCCCGAAATCTTCGTAATTATTTTGCTCGTCAAAGCGGTGTTCAACGTCGCAAATATTTCAACGTAATACGATGTAAACGACACAGCTACATAACCGATGACTGGCATTTAAATAGCGATGTTATTAGGCATCTTCGAAGTGGCTTTTGGAGAAAATCGCGAGAATCTAGCCTCATAATTGGTCACCGGGCTTATGAGAAATTTCAGGGATTTTATTCGTGAATAAAAATCAAGTCAAATATCAAGATGTCGGCATGATTATTCATTAAAAACACGTTGAAACGGAAACATAGGGATGAACGTGAGAGTGGAAGGGTAGTGGAAGAAAAATAGGATGATCTACAGCGAACCAACAAATTATTCCGAACCGGCAAACTCGGATTCCCCCATACCTCCCGTTCGACCTTCGTTTACTCATTCCGCCGCGAAAAATGGGGAAACTATTCAAGCGAGCGAGCGAATAATGCCCATCGATCTCCCCCTCAAAAAGCCGAGCGGTGGTCATCTCGCTTCGTGTGCCGCGTTTCTCTCGCACTTTTAATAAATGCGCGTAAACGCCTCGGTTCTCGATCTCCCATATCATATGCTGCGGTTCTCTCTCTGTCCACTGTATACACTGTAAGAATTGACTGTTTTGATTTATTAGCAGTAAATTTTTATGCCGAGATTATTCGCTAGCCATCATGATTTAGTATCTTGAATTTTGAGAAAATATTCGCTCACAAATACATTAAAGTCGAAAAAGCAAAAGAAATATACATTTGTCTTGATATCAAAAGGAAAGATAATTTCACTGAAGAAAAGTCTGATAATAGCTGCTAAATGTGTTTTGTTTAGCGTATTCATACAATGTTTAGTAAAGTTTACCAAACCTAATAATAGTAATAATAGTAATAACAATAATAAACTACGCGATTTATCGCATCTAACAATGTATCAAAACGCAAAGTGTAACTTGCAAATTGTATATAGCTTCTATGAAGAAAATATTCATGGAAAATATTCATGGAAGCTTTTTTCAGTATATAGAAGAATAAATATAATTTAAAGAAATACTGAATAAGTACATTTATTTTCAAAGTTTAGTTTCGATGATAAATTATTTATGAAAGCTGCACCACCAGGGTTGATTTAATAAAGTCTGTCCGCTTTTTTCTCAGACAAACCGATCTGTGTGCCGGATCAAAAGCGAATCTATGGAGTAGCGAGGCACGAAGACGCTCGAGTGATATGCAGGGTTGAGGCGTATCCACCACCAGAGAGTTTCCGTTGGACTTTTAACAATACCGAAGAGATGGAGGATGTGCCGCAGGCTCGTTACAAGAACTCAACCAGACATACCCAGAGTATCCTCACATACCGGCCGGTCACGGAAATGGACTACGGCACCGTGCTGTGCTGGGCGAGCAACACGGCCGGCCAACAGAAGAATGCCTGCATATTTCACATTATTCCTGCGGGTATGTACGCACGCGGCGTGTACCAGTAATGCCGTTCCGACCTCTCTCTGAGTCGCTAAGGATTTCCGTGAAAAGTTCCGGAGAAGCGTTTCTGCGAAATCTGCATGCCTAGCGTTTCGCAACGCCGCACCGGAAGCGTTGTCTGTTGCTAAATCAGTATCTCTCAAACAATTTTCATTGAAATAGAAGGGAAGGGAGAATTGTAAACAATGTTAATGGCGCGTTGCAGGCAAACCGGAAGCGCCATACAACTGCACGCTGACCAACCAGACCACCGAATCACTCTCGGTGGAATGCACCGCTGGTTTCGACGGTGGTCAGCCTCAACATTTCCTCCTTGAAGTGTTCGATCAGCACACGGGGGCCCTGCAGGCTAACGTCACATCCAGAGAGAATGCGGCTTTCACCGTACAGGGTTTGGAGCCGGGCAAGGTACTGAATATGATCCTGTACGCGGTTAACGCGAAGGGGAGAAGTGAACCGACGTTGCTGGAAGGTTTCACGCTTAAAGTCGCCGAAAAGCAGACTGGTAAGTTGTGCTAGAAATATTCGCTTCTTTTCCTTGCGGGATCCGTATATTAAAAGAGCGACTATATTGAAATATCTAAAAATTTAATTAGATACTGAATTTAGAGCTATATCTTAAAATGATGTGTTCGGTCATTAAAATAAATTATGTTGGAAACTCGTTTTATCCTTTTAGCAATTATAGGTTGAACGTTTTTAGATATTTCAGCAAAATTTCTTTCCATATAGAATTTTATGAAAATTGACAAAATATAAAATATCTTTCACGATTCATCACTTCACGAAAGAACATTTTTGCTATAAAGTATCGAAAATTTAGCTAGATACGGATTTGAAAATAATTTTATTAAATTATCAAAATAATTATGTAGAATCTCAACTGATTGTTTGAATATTAAATATTTAGCTATACTTAAATATTTAGATACTTTAGCAAAATCGTTCTTTCCACGCTGGAATGACGAATTAATTAGATTACTCTGAAAACTTTTAACGTAAAAATACTAGCCTATTGTAGAATTCATAATAAGATAAATGATTAAAAAAATCTATACTCTGAAGTATGAGGGACAACGTGATCACATCGCTTGGATTCATAATTGACATTAGTCTGATCAAAATTAATAATGATTGACAACGTCGGAGATAATCAGTCGTTTCAAGCCTAATGCTATTGATCGTATCCTGCATCAACGAAATAAGTAATTTGTTAGGAATATATGGACAAATTACCAATGCAATGCCGCTCCATAAATTATGAGACTGGCCGAAGGACGTCGGGGCTAATCGAATTAGCGAATTAAATCGAACGGACCCGCGCGGATTGTCCGTGTAACGTTTTAATCCGCTCATCCGATCCGAATCCCCGAGTCGAACTCGGATATACCATCCGGTCGTTTCTCGCAGCTAAAGAGCACTTGGGCCATACGAAAGGTTTCACCGCGAAAATTGAGCATCTGGGTCGAGAAATTCAATCGGCGACATACATACCATACCATACACAAACACACACACACACACACACACACACACACACACACACATCCACGTGCGCACAATCATGGGTGGATATTACGCAAGTTATGTCCACATCACGTATGTGCGCCAGTGTATGTGAATTGTTCTACAGAACGACTGCCCGCCCGTCGTGAGTAGTAATCTATTCCGACGTTTTCCAATCCACTTACACGAAACGGCTTCGACCAAAAATTGGCAGCAGCTCTGGCGATGCGTAAAACGCGCCAGATTTACTCGTGCGCTCCTTCGAAACGCGAATGCCCCTTCGAAACTTGTGGCTCGTTTGAATCGATGCCCTGCCTTATTTTACTGATTCGATACAGCTTCGATAAGGAGGCAAGAAGATCTTGCGCTCTGATAAAGATGGAGAGAAATTCCATATTGCTGGAAGGAAAGATGGATAATATTTGTAAGGTATAGGTATAGGTAGTCAGAGACAGGTATATCGTGAGTAATTACGAGAATTAATCTCAACGTCCACTTATAATTATGAAAGTAGGAAGGATATATCTATGAAAGTAATGTGAAACTTTCCGTTCCCGTGAGCGATATAATCGCTTCAACGAACGTCTCTGTGAAGGAGACGCACAGAATAACACGCTGATGGAACCCCGCATGATTACTCGCCGTAAAATCACGGAAAATTGATATAACTTTGCAAGGGGTCGATCGCGCGAGAACTTCCCTTAACCTGTAACAAGAACACATTTTTTTGTGACGCTAAAGGAACATACGAGTTCTTGGGAATCACTAAAGTTTTTTATTATTAATTTTTGAAAAAGTTTTAAAATTTTTACCTATATGAAAAATTGCAATACTTAAACTTAGTCACATTTACTTCAATCTTATTTAAAGTATTAACAAGTCTCGCTTCCTTTTTTGTGTTCATGAAAAATTCGTTCACGTACAACTCTCGATCTAGCATACGATTTAACACGTCAAGCGTACTTGATACATAATATATTCAGAGACAAAGAGATTTCATAAATGGGAGAGAGAAAGGAGGGAGGATAATACGACGACTTATGAAAACCGAGAGGAAGGCGAATTGGACGCTGAATGAACTACCAGCGACGAATCTCATGCGGTTGATCTCAGTCGAGACGCCTGAGAGGATGAATCTGGTCGAATCCATCCTTCAGCCGCCGCGTTCATTCCGTAGATTTCTAGCTGGTAGGATATCTCGACTACTCTCCTAGAACAGATATACTCGACCCGGGTGTACATACATTTACACGTATATGTATGTATGCGCGCGCGCGCGCGCGTGTGTGTGTGTGTGTGTATGTGTGTGTGTGTGTATATCGGCCCGGGACGAATTTACAAGTGAAATTGCTCTCTCGGTCAGTTTCCACGATGCGATTCAAGCGAGTACACCCGTCGCGCACTATCCGTAGTGTATATACGCCAGGTATATAAACCGGTGTACATATGCAGACGGAGTAGTCGGTTCGAAAATCGATCCTCTCGCCGCGAGAACTCGACGAGTGTGAAACTTTAATAAAATTCCGGAATCAGCTACCTATCTTGGCTGCACTATCGTTGTCGTCTTGTCGTCTTGCTTCCGCACCTCATATGAGCATTCCGCGGAGAAGGCGGAAAGACCTCTCGATTTCTCTCATTCACATGAATGCCTTGAATGACCCCGCACGATCATGCAGGGCTGCTGCGTTCGGAAATTTCAACCAAGTATACTAGTGTGTCATTCTATCTTTATCATTCAATAGACGTAAAATAAGGATAAAATGACACACTTCGGTACTGAAGTTTCCAAACACAGCCCTATTTATCTGGAGACGAGCAGCTTTTAAAATCTTGACTTGTCGTCCTCTCAATAAGATAAACGTTCCAGTGACCAAACATGTATCCATGTCTGGACACAAAATTTATTATTAATCTTAAATGCTTTTTTTATTACAATATTAATCGTGCTTACAATTAAATTATATCAATATATTATATCAATATAAACAATACACAAATAATAATATAAACAAATAAAGTTTTATGCAAATGTCCAGACACAGATACATACATCCAGTCATTAGGAAGTTTATCTTATCGTGGGAATCTGCGGCGTGAAATACAAATTAGCACGTAGCTCGTAACGCGTGCAACTTAAATATAGATATAGCAGCATCGACTAGCAGTGCGGCGGATTTCTATGATATAAATACCACTACGAAGAGCCGGACGCAGCCAGCCTGAGATTCTCTGCCATAGTTTTTAATTTGATCAATCCGAGAGAGAAAAAAACGAAGAGAGCGTTCTATTTCCGCGATACGATCAAATACTCGCGACGCGGGCGAGCTTAATTCCATTTACCGCGTAGGTACGCAAACTTTTGCGATGTGGAAATTTCCGGCTTACGACTAGCATCGTACTATATCGCGATGGTTTGGTAAATATTATTGGTGGAAGTGTGTATATTAAAAGTTCTTTCACGTTACGAAAAATAAACAAGATATACCCACGGGACAAAACGTAATTTGTAGTTCATCACGTGCTGGTATCATCGGTCTTTAACGGTAACGTGCGATATTTGTATTGCAACGAGTATGATTTCGCATCGTACGACATCTCCCCGCAGAAAGTTAAATAACGATTCGGCGAAATAAATAACGATTGCTGCAAATGAAACAAACAATTTAAATCCATCGAGCCAAATTTTTCCGAAAACCGAATTTTTCAACAAGAAAGCAATGACGAATGAAAAAAAAACATTAGTAGATATTGTTCCTGTTCATCATTTCGTAACTTAACAATGCTCGACACAATTGATCCAAAAATGAACGATTGAAATGGCTCTCTCTTTGTATATATTGACTTTGACCATTTTATTATTTTAGAATTTTGAATGTTTAATGATATCGCTTTACTTAAAAAAAATGATAACAAAAAGTATTCGCTGTTCTTTAAATCTAATGCGAATTATAGATCGTTTAGAGAAGACTGTAGGGAAATTACACGCCAGAACAAATCGCCGAACAAAAATACGTCTCTAAAAATCTAAACTAAAATTAAGAACGGAAATAGGGGAAAAATAGAGGTGACGATGGAAAGTAGATAGCAGGTAAATATCATGGGTATCCGGTGCACTTTCGCCTTGATTAAAAATTAACGTGCACTTTGGCTGTGCATCGGGGCACAGAGTAAAAACACTCGGTCGCTCGTGACTAAAACGAGTGGCAATTACGAGCGATGTCTCTCAGGAGGTCCGGGCTAAGGAAAAAGATTAAAAAACGGACGGGTGGAGCGATAGCGAGTGTAGTGTGCGCGCGCGGACGCGCACGAAGGCATGAAGACGTGGCGGAAGACGGCCTCGTGGAAAATTAAACGTCGCCTGGGAACGGTGTTTAAACGCGGAGAGATATCAAAAGGATTCGAATTCATTAATCTTAGAAATGGTAGGTAGGTAGCTAGTCAGATGGCTCCATTCTCGCGCCGGCCAAATATCTCCTATCTTTTTACGGCGTAATGCGACTTTAACTCGTTTAACCCGTTTACCCTCGCAGTCCGTCCGGAAAATTGTCTCGCCAGCACTTCCCTCGGAGCTGGTTTATATTGTTTCGCGTGAATGAAATATTTTCGTAGCAGAAAAGCGTCGTATGCAAATACACGAAGCACATTCGCATTAATTGTTAAACATCCTGTTACCACACTTACCGTATCGTCGCAACTTCATTTCGATTCTATTATAGCGCACGGATGGATTTTTTAAATATTACACTGTAAAAAGCATTTTATACTTGTGTGTGTTAAAACCAGTCCTTGTTAAAATTGTTGTATTGAATTTTTAACATACCAGAATGTTAACATATAGTGGCTGCCAAAAGTTTCCAGCCAACATATTATTTTACATTTTTTCCAATCTGTTTTTTAATTTCTATTATAAGTTAATAACATTTTTGTTATAATCAATTTAACAGCACAATGTTTTAAATACTATATAGAATATATTAATTATATTAAGCAGCTTGTATATTAAATCTTTATTTATAAATATTCTTTAAGATTATCAATCTAAGCAATAGATAAAGTATATTATTCATAATTAAAAACTTTTCGAAATCACTGTAATTATATTATTTGAATATTTTGTATTAAATTTATATTTAACGTCTTTCTGTGCTAAAATAACATAATAAGTAGTTTTTAAATGTAAATTTTAAAATGAATAAATAAAATCGTAGATGTTAATTTGACATAAATATTAATTCCATTAATATTTTATATATCTATTAAAAAAATATGCTTCCCCCATAATGTTTCCAAATCATTTGAAATTTTTTACATAATTTTTATCTTTTTTATTTCTAACATATTCATCTTATGTTAAATTAACATACAAAGTTAAGTGGATTATTTGGATTCATAAAATGTGTTTTTAATACAAATTTTTTCCAATTACGTACTTTTCTCTTTTTTTTTTTTCAATATAATCACAATTTTCCAATGTCCGCACGAGCGGGAAAACTTTACACCGACATGCTTGCACGAGAGCAGTGCGCGTTTTGTTCACAGGTACTCCGGTACCCTTCGAGTTCACCCCGTTACTCGGAAGTCTGATCGGCGTGGTCGCCGCACTTCTACTCATCACCGTCGCCATTCTAGCAGCGTTGAAAATGAGGAGCGAGAGGCGGGCTCAAAGACCAGGGGATTTACCTTTAAAGAAGGCTACCGCACCGAGTTCGGAGGACCTTTACGACGCGGACGATAGAAATCCGGACGTTGTGCCGACCAACAAAGGTATGTTCCCTGAGAATGCGTCTTTGTATGAGAATGGTGAATGGGTTAATAAAAGGGTAAACATCAAACACTTTGTGTATACGAAAAATTACACGATGCTGAGCAAACGTATCACGCCTGTCAGTTTTATTATCAAATAATTTAATAATATTTTACGTCGTTTGATTTTATCAAACGATTATGCATTTTACATATGAAATGTGTAAATGCGTAAATAAAAAATTCGAAAGTATCCTATGCATGGAGCGCACGGTTACGAGAATTCGGACAATGCACGAAATTATTTGGCAGCGTAAATCGCGTACAGTAACGCAATGTCTCGCTGTACACAGCGACGAATAAACGTGTAACATATTGTTGCGCGATACGTCGATCGACTCATACTCGCGTTTGCCCTGAAAATTTTAAACGTATGCATCCGGCACTCTCTATGACTAAAGACAAAATATGGCATGATGCAAGTGCACTCGTATTGCTTTTTGAATGGCATCATGTGTAAACTTCCATGTATTTACTACATACAATTGCCAAAGTTTCCGGACAAACATAATTTTACGGTAATTTTTATGTATGTTTAATCTTTAATGTGTTTTTCAGTTTATATTAGTTGATAGAATTCTATTATAATCAAGATTTTAAATATTAGACAAGTAAGAGTTAAAGCTTTTAACAATCGAAGCTTATAATGGATCATAGATGCTGAAATAATTTTCATGTGAATTTATATTGAATGCAGTATAGTCATTTTAATTATGCTTAAATATTAGAATATTAAATACTTGAATAGATCTTTATTTATAAAGAATTTTTATTTTTTAAGGATCTTTATTTATAAAAAATCTAAGCGATACAATAAAATTATATTAGTCGAAGCCACTACAAGTCGAGAAAAATGTAATATAGTAATACCGTCGAAAGAGATCGTATTGTTAATGTAACAAAATACTACAAGCAATTCCAAATTGCACGTGAATAATATTCCTATTTCTTTTTATCCTTTTTCTTGAAACTTAGATAATATTAAACGCTTAATGACTCCCATCATATGAACGAGATTGGTGTCTGATTATTCCATTTTTCTGTGCATATGCTTCAATGAACTTACTTAAGAAACACACCAAGCTTTCAATCTGGATCGTAATTAAAAAGAATTATTCACGTCGAAACGAATTTCCTACCTGTTTAATCCCTTTGTTTCTTTTATTATCTATTCTTGTTTTAATAAAATAATTCTGTATATGCAATGCTTCTAACTTGTTTAAATTTCATAAACTATAAATTTTTAAATAGAATTTTTAAGTGGATTTTTTTTATTTTTAAATAAATTTTTTTAATAAATGATATATTTTGAATAAATGATACATTCAGTTGAAGTAATATTAAATCAGAAGTTCAGTTTTACTTAAATTAAATTTATACGAAGGAAAAAAATAAAAACGAAAAAGGAAACGGCAGGATTAACGTTGCTGTTACGAAGATTTGTCATTTCGACTCGACATGGAAATTTTATCAGCTACGTTGCCCGTCGTTAGCTTTCAAACGTAATATCTGATTGACAGCGATCGAGAACACTTGACCAAGTGTACTCGAGACCGGAAATTCATCGGACTCTATTGCGAATGCGCTACGATTCGTTAACAGCATCGCGCAACGCTATGCTGTGCGTCATTACATCGTTCGCAGTAATAGCACCGCTGGAACAGCGCCGGAGAATGCGCGATTATGGTTGAATATACAACTGATAACCATAGAACTTAACCCCGGACTTGTTAATAAATTACTCAGCCGATTACAAGAGAGACTTGTTCATCGTGTTCGCTTATGCGAATCTGATATTCAACGTTCGGATAGTTGCCATCGCCCCGATAAGCTTTGTTAAATCTGCGATATGATTACAGTAAATAAATTCTTTGCCATTTTTTTAATGTGAAATAATTAATCTTTTATAGACATACATTTTTCTTTATTGTTTTTGAAACAATCAACAAAATCGAGTTTTTTCATTAAAAAAAAAAAAAAAAGGAAACAAATTATTTCCCTTATAATTATGAGTTATTTTATATTTATAACTGAGTACGAATTATATTCGGGACACTAATTTGTCGTCTGAACGGGATATGTAATGTTAACTTAATGAAGAAAATTACTCTGGACACGATATTACTTAGTTAATTATTTAATCACGATCAAAACGATATCTGGTTATGTACAAATTACTATTTAATTAACATATCGCATTAGCATACCGCTCCTCGATGAATTAAGCCAGGTATATCGATACATTAGTAATGCCTTGTAGTTATTAGGTTATTACGATAAAGTTCAGTGCACCATCGCAAATGTGAATTAATGATTTAACTAGTTTAATAGCATAACGAACACATTATATCACGGTTTTCTTTTCGATAAATGATACAGCAAACTCTATGAATAATTCGCGCAGCCGTGGTGCTTTGCAACATTTAATTAATTTTTAATAAAATATATTATATCGATAAAGTATTTTAGAATTAGAAATAAAATTAATTTACGATGCGCAAAAGAAAAATAGTTCATGTCTTATTTATGTGTGTCTTAAGTAAATGTATATATGTATATTAAATATTCGAGAATTCATTAGGTATATTTATTTTACAGCAATAATATATTATATCAAGAATACATTTTCAATTTTTCATAAAGGTCTCGTACAATTTTTATGTTATTTGAAAAGTTCACGCTTACTTACAAGTTCTAATCGATATGTCAAGATTCCTTTGAAAAGCAGACGTGAACTTTTCAACAAGAGCTGATATTTTGCCGCGAAGCAAAGTGGAAATTTCTCATATATACTTGAAATGAAAGATTCAGATTATCAGCTGACCGGCTCGACTTCCGGCACACCATTGGCAACGCAAAACACACCGGATGGCCTTCCACCATCGTCCCTTCCGACCCAGCAGACGAATAATCATCTACAAGGACTTCCTGCCTATTCGCATAACGATTATAATAATTATCCCACCTTGCCGGTAAGTATCACATTGAAAGTTCTTTTTTTAGTATAATTCATTAATTTCCTCCGTACATCAGCAAAAAGACTAATTTCTAACAATATAATGATAATAGATGTTTAGTCAAAATTCGGAAAATTACCGTTCGACAAAAAAATCACTTTTTTCTCTTCGAAGTACTATGGTATAGCCTCAATTTTTTGTGTTGAATATGATGTCATCAGAATGTGTGTAGTATATTAGATTTTTAATAAATTGAAGTGGTTCTAGGCCACTATTCATTTCGTTCCATTTCGGAGAGAATTTAGTAAAACAATGTTATAGGCCAACTATAAAAATGCATATATAAATATTTTGTAATCGATCATGTCGAATATAATTAAAAATAGCGGATACAATATAGCAGCGATGAAAATAAAAGGTTCATTGTAATCTTATAAAAATGTATATGTGTGTGGGAGTTTTTATAAATTACATTGATGTCAGATACGAGGTTTAAATTTCAAAATTTTAAATGACAGATGCAGTATGACGGACGCAAAAATGAAAATTTCATCAAAATCTCATAAAAATGCATATATCAAATTTTTACGGTCATTGACGTCAAATATGATTAAATTTCAAATTGACAAATCCAATATGGCTAACACGAAAATAAAGAATGTCATTGAAATTTTATAAAAATGCACATGCTAAGGTTTTTCAAATCATTGATTCATATCTTTCCTCTGCGCATGTATACATCGGTATAGATAAATAAAAAAATAAGTAAAAAATCATACAGTAAATGTTCAAAATCGGAACATAAGACATCTTGTGATATATTAATATACTCTGTTCAAAATGTTGTCTACAAATGAGAATAAGAACTATAGTGAAATGCGTGTCACCCGTATAATGACAGGCAATCAGTGTTATAGTATAGTACGCATTAGATAATATATTTCGATAAGATAGATACTGTGGAAATTGAATAGTGTATTATAATCATACGCGAAACACTTTAGTGAATAGCTACCAAATGCAAAAGCCAATTCTCTAACAAACTCTGACAATCCCCTCTAGAATCTATGTTAAATTATACTTTGTTGTCTCGCTTGTAACTGTATGTCGCACAGTTGCTATAGCCATTACGTGTAAATGGATGTTCTGATTTCATGAGAGGGAAATGAATGTAATACGGCCTGCTTGCAACAAAGAGAGGCTTTAAACAATTAAAGTCGATAGTTTAAATCACGAGAATTTTGTTAGTCAAGCAAGCGACGTTCTAATAAAGTTAATAGGTTGGTCCAATGGGATGGGAAACTAAGAAAATGGAGTGTAAAGAAATGGAAGAAGAGAAGCAGTTCGCCGAATCGTATCGTTGTCTTACCGTTGTCGCGTCGTTCTCCTTTCCCGTCGAGCTTCACGAAAAGCTTCGGCCAACGTTTTCAAGAAAGTCCTCCAGCGGTGTAGTTTGAAATAACAGTATCCATCCGGAGAGGATGGCACTACGTAAAGTTTCAACCGGAAAGCAACGATTCCAGCTGCAGCAGTTCGAAACTAGAAAATTGCACTGTCCACGTCTCTCGATTTTAGAAAACATTCTGAGGTCGGAGAAATTCTAACGTCATGATACAGATAACGATCTCTTTCCGAATGAAATTATTTTGCATATCACGATTATTAACCAATAAGTTATAAAAAAAAGATTTATGCAAAGAAAGGATTTTTTGTTAAAGCAAAAATTTAACCAAATATAGAATCTGAAAATAATTTGGTTGGATCATTAAAAGAATTATGTATACAGCACTTAAATATTGATGACAGTGCTGCAGGAAGCACTTTACGCTTCCACCAGCAATAGGAGTCTTTAAAAGCATCATCAATTTTGATAGAAAAAATTAAATTTGTAAAGAATAAGTAAACTGTAATCTGATTTCTAATCTGATGATAAAAACTCGTTAAAACTTTGACAAGTATAGAATTTTTTCAGATTTTTATATAATCCGGAACAATAAAAAATTTGCTCTAGGGACCGATCTTGAAAATTATACCATAAAAGTAAGCGAATTTACTAGAATACTAATAATTTCATTGGTTAACATCTATAAATAAATTTGCTCATTTTTGTAATTTTCATCTTATTTGAACTGTTTGAAGCTCGATCTCCTGATCTTTTTCGAAGATCTCTTTTCGAAGATTGCTAACGGAAAAGCTAAAATTCATATTACCAGCGAAGGATTAACATTTTAGTTAATTAAACATCCTAATTATTTTGATAATAATAGAATTATTTTCAGATCTGTATTCAGCTAAATTTTTAGATACTTCAACAAAATTGTTTTTTTTTTCGCATTTGTAATTCGCGGCGACGATCAGAATCTCTCTTGTTACGTTCGCGCTTACTCCCTTTCAAATTTCCCCGATCTTCTCTTGAGTCCCTTTCGTCACGATTCGTTGAAACTTCATCCCCAATTTCACACCAAATTAATTGCTAATTACTGCGGGGATCTAAAGTTCTGTTAGTAAAACCTCGGTAGGAACAAAACTCCAGAGTGGAAAACTTTGATTATCGCTACTCGAATTTTCGTATTCCGTTTCTCCTCGGTTAATTGTTGCTTTTTCTTTAAATACCAATTGTTCAAATCCTCCCGTTGAATTTGAAGTGTTTCCAGAATCGATAGTACAAATGATTATCGGCGTTGAATTTCTCGTAACTTTAAGTGCTTGTAGAAAATTGTCGGAGTTTGCTAAATCTCAATGAAAAAAAATATATATGGATTTTCCTGCAGAAAATATATATGGATTTTCCTGATAAAAACTTGATAGTAGTAAAACGCGATATAAGAAACAATTTGTGTTTTGAAAATCTATGGAACTCGCAATTTCTTCTTGATTTTTTACATAATAAAATCCGATGAACTGATTCGCTCCCGTGAACAATTTCATCTGCTCTTCCATTATATTCCATCGCGAACGAACATTCTTGCTGTTTTGCATCCAATTTATAGGAAATGACGTCGGGTACTCGAGGGTTGCTGTCCTAAACAGTCGAAGGAACTCTCGCCGTCAAAAGTTTTCGTAATACGAGCCAACTAGTCCAGGCGGTCTCTTAGGAATATTCAAGAGTGAAAATTTCCAAAGTTAGACTTGTTCGTGTTATCTAAGTCTTGCGACTAGGAAAATGCGACGCGGAAACTCTCGCTCGATTTCTTAGGAATGTTTTAGCCCTATCACGAAAGTTAGGCGTCTCACGCGAATAGGGGATTATTTGAATGTCCGGTCGGGGTACGCGTTACAGTATAATGGTTGCATTCACTTTAGCGGATTACGCCTCGTACACATCTATAATAAACCAACGCTAATGTATTGAAATTGGTTTAATCTCTTGTTACCCACGTGTCATTAGACATCCGAGCGGACTTGTTGCATAATGCGCAGCAGATTCGATCGATGGAAACAATACGCGTACTTAATCCCTAATCGGATTCAAGGCTCATGTAGAACCCGACGATTAACGTATGTTTCAATAAACTTCATTCAGTTGGACTTAGCAGAAAAGTCCTGTTTGCTATGTCAAGTAGCATATTCATAACTAAAGTATACGTAATTGTGTTGCCGTCAACGTTTCAGTGTTCGTTGTCACTTAACTACATGATCATTGTTATAAAATAAGTCTCTCATATTAATTTATTATGTTAACCTTTCATTACTTGAATGAACTGTTCAGAATACGCCTACCTTACAAATTCGCTAAATGCTGTTTGTATACATTATTATATTCAGCGCAAATTGTTTCACAATTTGAAAAACATTTTTTGTATTTTTATTTAAATGATATATAGATTGAATATTATTAATTATTATTTAACCCTTTGAATAAAGGAGCTTTTTAACAAAAAAAAAACTTAAAAAGATTTTAATTTCTAAGAATTTCAGGGGTTGATAAATTCGATTTCTGGCTATAGAATTCTAAAATTGAACTCAGTTTTAGAATATTCTTGGTATCTCTAAATTTGAATGTAGTCCGAAAATCGGACTACATTCGATCGAATTTCAAAATGGTAATCTTCAATAAACGAGCACCTAATGTCACAGAGTTCGTAATTAGAAATTAAAAGTCAGTTTGGAGATCAGTACTAATTGTTTGCGTAATACCGATGAGCTTCAAATTAAATGAAACTGAAAACTGAAGCAGAACTTGATATAATAAAAAATTTCATAAAACTGAATTTTATGATAATTGAATTATCAGTTTTAGGGAATTTAATTTTTTTTTTAATTCTGTCTGGCATACTGGATCAACCATATCATTTTTCATTTTCCTTAGATACGAATAAAAACATTATCAAATTGTCTCGTATCTATAAGTCAAATTTCATGGAAATCAAGTAAACAGTTAACAAAATAAAAGAGTGTGATCCCAAATGAGATCAATCCACAGTTAGAGTTAATTATAAATCATCAAAAAAAAAATATATTAAGCTATAATGTTAGGATATCAAAAAATACACACTTCACACATGTAATGTAAGGTTAAAAGGGACTAGTAAAATTTTCTTTAAAGTAATAATTTCTTTTACTTGCGAGTCCGAATGTTTTTTTTTATGTAGCACGTCCGATCTTTTCCTTTCAGTTATCCGGGGAGGTGACATACGCCGAGCTGTGCCTAGCAAGACCCACCACTTTGTCGACCCTGACGACTGATGCCAAGCTGGCCAGCCTCGGCGGCGGAGTTGGCGGTCTGGGTGGTCTTCAGGGTTACGGCAGCGGTCTCGGGGTAATCGTGGGCGGCAAGCCGTACACGAAGGAAGCCACAGTCTATGCCTGCATCGACCACAACGCCAGGCCACCCAAACTGGACGTCCCTAACGTGCCGTCATGCGCGACTACCCCTATAACGACGGCGAACGTACTCCAGGATTCCACCGTCGCCACCGTCATGAGCAGCAAGCAGCACCACCCAGCGAGAGAGGTCGTCACCGTCCGTACGCCCCTGATCTCAACCCAGGAAAGCTGCGTATAGGGACGCGACTCTGACGCGCTCAACGTCAACGAGTACTACGTCTGATATGGCCGCCGACTCGTGGCGATCGTGTGCGTCTTCATGGTGCGCGACTACCTTTCGATTCCTGGACTCGCGGTGCTTTCCCCGGTAACGTTCACGAATTCTCGAGAAAAGGTATACCTAATATGAATTATGAATTTCGTCCGAACGCGAGATGTTCGCACGCTCACATCGCGAGCGACGTGACCGCTCGTTTTCAGACGTATGGACTTTCGCCCAACCGACGACCGCTATGTCTGCGGTGCTCGTATCTGAAAACAAACTTCTGATCGTGACTAACGACGCCGTACAACGAGGAAAATGACGGCTACGCTTCGGTAAGATATATTCATATCTCATATGAATATACCAAGGTAATATAACGAAAAAGCTAGACGTCTTTGTATGCAATCTATTACATACATACGGTTTGCAATCCTATTAAGGTAGATACAAACATTCAGGACTGACCAATCTCTTGAAGAATACATATCGAAAAATTCCAATATCGGATAACATACAACAACCAAATTTCTTCATTTAAAAAACATTCCGAATATACATATGGCAAAATGTTATGTGATATAAAAATCTGTGAAAGCATATCGAGTTTATCACTGCCCAATTTTCAAAGATTCCATTTATCTTTGGCACATCATGAAAGTATGCAGAAGAAACTGAATAAAACTAAATCCTGAACCAAAAGTTTTATTAAAACAATTCTAGATTTCAAGAAAAAACATACCCATTCCAGATTTATATTATAATTTATATCGTAACAAAAAAAAAAGCCAAAGGGAGATACATAATATTAACATATCGTTAATCGCACGAAATTTTTCGCAAGAGAACATCACTACGTGATGTGATCGTTTTGATTCTAAAAACATCAGCGTCGAATAAATCTATTGATATTTATCGAAGAATCCATTGACTGAATTGCCATTGTAGCGGAAAGCACCATGTCCAAAAATCTAGATTTCCGCGGATGTTCTTACCGCGAGAGGAAAAATCGATGTACCTATGTCTCGTAACGGCGAATGTAGATTTTCTATCCCAAGAGTATACTTTGTATTACAAAGTAGGTATGGGGGATAAAGAAGATCATCGCGTTGAGTGTATCTTCGTAGAATGGCGCGTCTTTATCGACGATATGCTCTCCGATCTCTTTCTCCCTTTTTCTCGAAGTGTCATATATCGTGTCGATTACGGCGCGCCAAATGCAACGGTAAATTTCGGAGAAACGGAGAGGATCTCCGCGACGCGAGAGAAAGATCGACTTATTTCCGTGAAAATCCGCCAAATATTTCCGCTGGCAAATGGTTCCGCGACGCGAAACAAGTGCGTTGTACAAAGTACAGCAGTTACGAAAATCCGACGTGAAGATTTTCTCAATGTCGGACGTGTTCTTGTCCTTTTTCCATTATTATCTGATTTCATTCTCAATTGAGAATTTCACGGATAATTCAACTTCGATTTCATCACAATGAAATGATGTCACAAATAAATGTCACAAATAAATATTCGTCCGAAAAAATTTTTCGGTGACTTAACTCTAATTGGTATTCGTCCCGAAATTTTCTTAACTGTGGCATTTGCAAAACCACAAAATTTAAAATTAATATATCTTTGTTTAAAATTTATATAATTGACAAATTTTTTTTTATTTTGAAAGTCAAAATCCGGAGGAATATTTATAAACAATTTTTCACAACGTAATTGAAAAAAATGTCAACTGCATCCGCAAATATCAATTAAAGTTAATCATCAGGGAAATAATTTAATAACAGTCACGTACTGCTGTTTGGTCAATCGATTAATTTTTTTTTAAATGTATGCATAAAATTAACTTTATTCATACGGTGCGTAATATTTAAAATTTAGTCATGTAACTTTATTAATGTTATATGACTTTATTAAATCTTGTCTCGGGATTTATTTTGAATTATTTAATACGCCGCATATACTACAGAAGATGACAAGGTAAGAGTAAATTTGTTAAACTAAATAGGAAAAATAAATAAGCAGGATATCGATCTTCTCTCTCGCAGATTGCACCCGTTCTTTATCCTTCCATCATTACAACTCTAGTCTATTTACGCGACTTTTCGTATCTAACCGCGCGACATGCAATTGGAGTAATAATCACGCGGAGATTTTAGCGAAAGTCGAATTTTCACGATAACGCGAAAGGATGATTTCTTCCAAGATGACCTGATATACATCCTCGTATGCGTAAAACACTGTAAATAGCGATTTTCCTCAAGAGGACGAGGGCACGAAATAAATTTAGACTATAATTATCGAAATTATCATGTGCGTTGATAAGAGAGCCTGCTGCGCTCTGAAAATATGTATATTAATTCTAACTAACAAACGTACCTTGTACATTGCGCATCGTTCAATAGCGACGAGCATCTATGCATTATCCATAATTACATTTCGTTCGGAGAACATTTGACGACGGAATCGGAGACAATAACGTTGTAGAATTTAATTGAAAACGGCTCGCTAAACGATAAATTGTATCGTGTTACAGTGAAGTATTCGAAGTAAACGAAAGATTTTATTTAAAACAGTCTTATTTGTAGAAAATAAACATTAATTAGCAATTTATTAATAATGACTACCCTTTGTCCCGATATAAACAAAAGAGCTCCGCGAAAATAACCATTTAGATATGATCAGAAGATAAATTTCTCGAATAAACTATACGAATACTTTTATGCAAATAATGCAATTTTTTATCTTCATTTATTAATATAATAGTATATCTTGTTAGATAATGACTCTAATTATACTTTTTTATTATTACTGTAATTATTACACATCTTTTTAGGTAACATAATTTTGAAAAATATACACTCTGTTTTATTTTTTATTAATAAATTGTTCATTAATGTCTACTTTCTGTAAATTGAAATGTAAATAAACATGATTAAACATTTTTTTGAGATATCTCCCCTGTTTTGTACTCACTGTATATTCTTCCAAATTAATAATTGAAGTTTATTGAATATTTCAGCTCTGAATGATTTATTTTTTAATCGATTATCAACAGTAAACTATATTATAATAAACGCGATATAGTTCATCGTTTCAGAGCCAATTTTTATTTTCGTTTATTATTCCCTTAATCATGTAGACTGACGAGACGTGCGACGAAATCTGCGGATAAATATGTCCTAGAACTGCCAAAACGCGCAAAACACAACTACCATGTCGCACTCATTTTCACTCAGTTCGCCGTCGAGATAATGAAGAACAATCGAAGAGTATTTTCCGC